CTCTTTCTGATTCTTAGGTACTTTGTGCTGAAGATTTCTGCTGGAATCGAATATCCTGGTGAGATCAGGTGGCCGCTAGCCTTCTGCCTCTTCCTGGCTTGGGCGATCGTGTACGCCTCCCTGGCTAAAGGAATCAAGACTTCCGGAAAAGTAAGAGCTGGGATTTACCTGAGTAAGGAAGACGCCTGGGCCACCCAGGAGTGGGTGCATTACGGAACAGACAAGTGGGAAGAGAGCCAGTACACGTGGGCACTGACTCTCTTCCTGCCCCACAGTAGCTGTGGGCTACGGGCAGGGACTCTGTTCCCGTCTGTAAAACGGGGATAAAAACACCTTTCCCACAGGGTTGCATTAAGGATTCAGAGAGGCAGATGTGTGCAGAGCCCTGGAGGTGTGCCGAGGGACTGTGATTAGTTTCTGTCCTTTCCTATCCGAGGCCACCCCACATTCTGCAGATGGAGTGGCCCTGATACAACTCTTTTGCTTTCCTTAAACTCTAGACTCTGTGCTTCTGGCTTTGTGCCTCTCGGTCCAGCTACCAGGTCAGTTCTTGCTTCTGCTAAGAAGCTGGCAGAAGATCAAAATGGTGTTCTCACTCCTGACCGCCTTGTTCTTAAGACTTTCAACCCTTCTTCCAGCTCCCCAGACCCTGTTCTTCCCCACCACATCCTCCGGCACTAAAGTAGGAATGGCTTGTGTGGGATTTTGGCTGGGCCCTTTGGAGACATGGAACGCCAGTTCAGTTCCAAGCCAAAGCAAGGAGTAGGACAGCACAGCTATGGCCTTGCCAGCATTGTAGGGTCTTGCTGACATTGCTCCATGTTCCTGCTGTCTTACAACCCCCCACTGAAGGGTTAACCGATCCCCCTTGTATTGCTAAACAACCCATAGTCTAGCAACCTCAAGAGGCATTGTGTGTTTCAGGATGAAAGTGCAGATGTCATTAAAGCCCAGTGGCTGAAGATGTAATGGTGGCCTGGGAGACCATAGGTTGTGGGTTGAGTTTGGTCCAGTCGTCCTGGCCAGGGCTTCCTGTGATTATGATCAGTGGACTCTGTGGGGATCAGGCCTCCTGGGCAGGCTGGTCTGTCCTCCTTCCCCTCACACACATGCCCCACCAGGCCCGTAAACGTGACACCCTTGGCCACACAGACCAGTCTCTTTCCTGAGGGCACTTGGACACGCTCTTGTGTTCCACTTGGTCATAGGACTCTCTGGTTCTTTCCATGTCATCTGTTGGCACAGGGCCTCGAAAGGTGACTCTGGCGAGTCTGGCAGGATTGCCTGGGGCGGTGACATACCTGATAACCCACAGTGTGTGTGTGTGTGGGGGGGTTCCAGGCAGCCAGAGAGAACCAGGCTGCACGTCAGACCTTGACTCCTGGCCCGGGAACCCTCAGGCTGTTTGCTGTTTAGGGACATCTCACATCAGGCCATGGAACTTGGCTGAGCTCTTGATTTGTGACTAGCTTTTATATGTTTTTGTCAATACATGAAAAGAACATTTCCTAGTTTAGCTATTTCAGGAGACGTCAGTGTCCTTGTTTCTAGAGTGATAGCAATCGGACTGGCTGCTGTACAAGTCCTTCTGGTTCTAACATTCTGTTGGATACCCTCCGAGTGAGCTAGGGGACCACTTTTCCTCTCTGGACTCAGTTTCCTCTTCTGTGAAATCCCCTCTGCTGGCTTGGAATGAGTACCATGAGACCAGATCAATTGTTTTTCTAAGGCTGTAGGAAGATAGGGGAATAGTAAAGCGTCCCTTACAGCAAGCCAGGGTGGTCTTTGCCCTTGCGTCCTTGCCTAGGACTGTGATTGGATGGGAGTTTGATCGGCTTCCAAAGGCCCAGCTTAAGTATTTGCTCAGCGAACTCCTACCCGCAGGAGGGCTCTTTACAGCTGGAGATGGTGAGAAGGTGGCCTCAGCCATGACCTGGAAGACAGGGCAGAGGGTGAGGCTGGCAGAAAGGGGGAGCAGCGGAGTCAGAGCCTTTGCACTCTCACTTTCTGTTGCATGTTGTTTGCTGACTGTGAATGGCTAATTGTGTTGTTTCCTAGCTGTGAACTGTTTCCCAGTCTGTACACTGGGGTTATAGCGCATCCCCCGTAGGTAGGAGCGCCCGGCAGAGTGAAATGGAGCCTGCAAACTTCCCAGCATCCATTTGCTGGTTTCACTCAGCTTTCTTATGAGTCTCTGGGGTAGGGAGTGGGTGTCCTGCACTTTGGCATCTTGGAAGCGGTGGTTTTGGGGGGGAAAGTGAGAGGAGAAAGGGAGCTTTTGTGGTCCCACTGATTTTTCTCATTTTCAAATCCCAAGTGCTAGAGTACATACCCTCTAAGAATCTAGTAAGCTCCATTTGTCCTGCTTTTTGGAATGGCTTTATAGCCAATTTTTTCAACGGACTTGGAGTTTAATTCTTGGCGCTATGTTCTGGAGGCTTTCTAGAGTATGGAGTTGTAAGCAGGTACATTATTTTTCTTTTATCCCTGCCAACTTCCCTTCCTGCTTCCCTGAAAAAGGTTTCCAACCGAAGACTGATGCGTGAAAAAGCGAGGAATACCAGTAGAAACCATGAACCACGATTCATTTTTGTGCCCTGGGTCTCACAGACACTAATCATGGAAGACCGCTTGGGAGTCGGGGGGAACACAGGCCGAAGGTGCTCATCGCGATGGGCTCTGTGGCTGAAATTCCACCCTCACTGGCATTTCTGTGCCACACAGAGGCGCCCCCCCACCCCCCACGACAGCGAGGCCAGCTCAGCTCTTCTGGGTCAGGACCCAGGAGCCACACATGGCTGATTGCTCCTTCTCAGACCGAGGCCTCTGAGCAGCTTGAGCTCCAGGGGCAGGGGCCCCTGCAGGCCACCTGAAGGTCAGCGCAGCGCTGCCTGGAAGTTGTGGCAACAGAGCCAAGAAGCCAGTGTGATTAGCCAGCGGCTGGTATCAGGTAGTCCCTGCCACCCCCGCCAAGCAGGATTCATTACTGTTCCCACTGAAGCCCTCTGACATCCACCCGGAAGCCGTCTCAGGCCCAGACACAGGAAGCCACCTGTGTATTCAGCCTCCACACACACCTCACTCCCAGGTGAGGCATCCTCTGGGTTGAGAAGTCAAGCTGCCCCAGCCTCTCAGGTCGCCATGGTCATTTTCTGTAAAGGGAACCTGCCGTCTGCACCCAGGGCCAGGAGCAGACGGGCAAGCAGGCATTAGGGGGCATGCGGGCAGGAGGCACGCACGCTCAGGTGAGCATGGGGGCCTCCTCCCACCTCAGCTGGGGCCTCGGTTGCCTCAGCTCAGTCCCCGCTTCCTCCAATGATGTGGCCCGAGGAACAACGCCGAGAAGGCTGTAGCGTGAGAAAGCGCTGGGTCTGCAGCCTTCCTCAGGTGGGAGACCCAACCAGACCTTTAATTCCCCAGGAGACGCTTAACGTGGCCTCCTCCTCCGCAAAATGGGGCTGAACAGCATACCCGGTCCACAGAGGGGGCTCCAGGAGGGGCGCGTTCTAACCTGGCCCACCGTGGACAGGTGGGGACAGTCGTCTCTCAGAGCCGGCCATCTTGGAGGTTCCCCCTGCAGGCTCTGGCTGCCTAGTTACCACCTCATCTTTGTTTCCACCCATGGCCTTTCCTTTCCATGGGCCGCAGGTCAGGCAGCCCTGAGTTGTCCCCCATACCAACTGCCATCCCAGAGTGGGGGAAGTCACGCCGGCCCAGACCACCAAGACCACAGCTTTTCTTGTGACATCTCCTCTCAGAGGAGGTGTGGCCACTTCCTCCCGAGACGTCAGGGGTCCTTGCGATCCGTGACATCTCTCTGGGCAGGGGCTTTGCTTCTCCTTGTGACTCTAAGCGGAGGCTAGAAGCAGGTTTGTAGACAGGGAAGGGAGCTGGCTGCCATCTCCTTCCCCAGACCCTACCTTTGCCACTTCTTGGGGACCAGCGGGGAGGTCAGACTGCTGTCTTGTGGGGCAGGAGAGAGGTGTCCTGATCCTGGTGGTACCTGTGCAGAGGAAGAGGAAGAGTCCGGCCCATCTCTGGGGTCTACGGCCAGAAAATAAGAGCTTGGCCTTGAGTAATTGGCTTCAGAAGCCAAAGTTGCTGTGCATTTCAGCAAGTGGGAGGGTCACCCTTTCTGTTGCTGAGGCCAAACACTTAGGAGTAAAACTCGACTCCTCCCTCTCTCTACGTTAGCTGTGACAGGACGTTCTTTTGCTCTTCTTGAAAATACACCCACTATCTGCCTGTCACCAGCCCCCCACAGCATCTTGGTCAAGCCATTGCCATTGCCTGCCTGGTTTGCTGCCCAGCCTGTGCCCGGCACCCAGCAGGGTCCCAGCGAAGTAGCACTGGAGGACGCTGTCACCATGTGAGGCCACGTTACCCCTCTGCCCCAACCCCTGTCCCGGCCCCCCATCCTCACCAGGGCCCACCCTGCTCTGGGATCTGTCGCTCCCCTCCCACCCGCAGACTCCTCTCCCGCTGTGCCCACCGGCCACCTCGCCGGACATCCATTCTCCTTAGGACCGGAACTCTAGCTTTTCCTGCCATCTGGCATCTTCCCCACGTCCTGTCGGCTCACGTCTGTTTCCTCAAGTTTCAGCCGGGTTCTCAGGGCCTCACCTGGGCACCCACCTCAGTACGGGCGTTTTGCAGCCGTCTTTCCCAAGACACCCGCCTCCTTCCCCTCCTCCTTTCTCCAGTGCACGCCTCACCCTATTTCCGGAACCGCACGCCCTGGATACCTAACTAGGTGGCACATCTTAAGTGCTCTAAATTATCAGTACGTGCTTCTATATTATGTATATTCATTTGAATAAATGAGATGACCCCAGGAGTTGGAATTTAGGCTCAACTCTGACCCTTGCCCTAAACTTATCCCTTGCAAATCCCCGTATCAGTTCCCATCCCTGAAATCCTGGTGCCTGCTGCTGGCTGCCAGGCCTCCCAATGTGGACAGCAGGTGTGCAGCGGGGTCTCTGTCCCTGTCACAGGGCCTCGTGCCCAGTGGGCCCCGGATGGGAGATCACATGGAATAGGGGAGCTGTCATGAGCACCCCACACATCAGAGAAGGCTTAACCCCATCCTGCCCATGTCCCATAGCACATTTTGGGAATGGAGTCCCTCCCAGCAGCCCACGAGGGGGACACAGCTGTCCCTGCCACCTTGCAGATGCAGACACTGAGAGGTCAAGTCACTTCTCTTGATGACCCAGCTTGTCCCTGGTGGTGGCAGGATTTGAACTCAGACCTGTGTGACTGGAGAGCCTGAGCTCTCATAGTTTGCTCTTCTCCCCAACTAACAAATCCCCATCTCAGGCCTCTCCTTCACCCTGTGGCTTGGCTGACAGGTAAAGGAGGAGAGTATCTCCACCCGTCCACAGTCCACCAGCCCCCAAGTCCCGGCGCTTCATGATCCCTGTTGCAGCCCAGGCACCGTGCCAGGAGCTAGTCATGCATTGGTCATTTAACCCTCAGGGTGGTTTGTGAGAAAGGTGCTTTTGTGCCCCGTTTACAGATGCAGAAACTGAGATTCAGTGAGTCTAAATAGCTTGTCCAAGGTCACGCGATTCCTCGGGGCCAGAGGTTCAGTTTCACTTGAACCCAAGTGTGTCTAAGGTCACGCTCTCCCACCTCACTGGTTACCCCACTCGGGGTGGTGGTGTAAGAAGAGAGGGAAGGCTTAAACACATAGAATTCATCTCCAATGACAGGGGCCTCACCGGAGGATGGGGAAGGAGCTAGTCCTGTGTCTTCCTTGAGCCCCTCGCTCTGGAGGTCGCATGTGCAGGGGTGGGGTGGGGGTGGGGGTGGCAGCTCCGTGTCGTCCCCTGCCCCCCGCGGCGGAGCAGTGGCGCAGGACACGTTCCGCGCATGCGTTCACCCTGCCTCTCGGCCCCACTGTTTTCCAGGTGGTGTACTTCACGGCCACGTTCCCTTACGTGGTGCTGGTGATCCTGCTCATCCGGGGAGTCACCCTGCCGGGAGCTGGGGCTGGCATCTGGTACTTCATCACACCCAAGTGGGAGAAGCTCACGGATGCCACGGTGGGCTCACTGCTCCGGGTATAGCTGGCTGGGGGCGGGGTGGGCGGCCCTCAGGGTTGCTCCTTGGAGTGGTGCTCGGCTGCCTGGCTCCCCCGGGAACCCCCCTGTCTGCTCCTGTAGGGTCCTGGTGGTCTGGGTGTGGTATGCACTCAGGACGCAGCTGGTGAGGAGTGAGTAGCCGAGCATTCTCAGATTCCCAGAAGAGCTGCCCTACAGCTGGAGGCGCAGTGCAGGCTCAGGGAGAGGAAGGAGGAGACCCCTTTAGTGGCTCCGGGCCCTCTCTCACCACTTACCTGCTGCTAATTATAGTGTGTGGAAGAAGAGTTGTGCCGGTTTGGGAAATAACAGCGCATAGGTAAACCGAAAGCAATTCTGATCTGTGAAAGGCTCCAGACACATCTGAATACTTTTCCACACCCACGCGGGACCAACACACACTTGACCTCTCTTTTTCTCTGAAATTCACAATCCAGAGAACTCAAAGTGTGTGTGTGTGGGGGGGGTGTTTAATGAGAGATCGTTTTACCCCCTTAAAGAAAAGCCTGCTTTTTCAGAGTGTGTTAAGGGCACAGCTGGTCTTGAGTTTGGCTGTATGGAACGGAGAATCTCTAGGTAATACCAGCTGAAACAAGACGAAGGACTAGCTCACCCTCCCTCTTTCACCATGGCAGCAGGGTAGATCAGACTCACTCCGCGGTGTCATCAGGGACCCAGGCTCCTCTCTTTCTGCTCCACTGTCCCAGTGAACGGCTTCCAGACAGCTGCTAGGGCTCCAGGCATCACATCTGCATTCCAAGTACGGCACAGAGGCAAAGATGGGGCTAAAACAGGCCCTGCCCTCTCTTTTAAAGAAGAGAAACTCTAGGAGTTTCATTCATTTTCACCCTCTGGGCCAGAAACTAAGTTGTACAGTTACCTAGCAACCAGGTCTGTACCCCCCTTAGAAGGGGAAGTTGGCCAGATGGCTGCCCCTAAGTCAAACCCTGGCTCTGTCTCTCAGGGCACTCTGGGGGTGGATTTAGGGATGGACACAGGAAGTGCTCCAACTTGGTCTTCGCATACTTTAAGTGCAGTTTAAAAACAGGATTGAATTTATAAGGACAACAGGAGGCCCATCGGGTAAAGCCTAAGTCTACAGCTCAAACCCTTGAATGAGCTGGGGTTTTATGAGGGCAATGAAGAGGAATTATGTGACAACCAAGATATGTCACAGCCAAGCTCAGGGAGGATGTGGTTCTAGGAAGCCCATTCTTGTGTCACCAAGACTGCTTCACTGTGATCACAGGCTACAGAATTTCAGGTTTTTATTTCACTTTTATTTATTTAGTTGTTTTTTTTTCCTGCAGTACTGGGGATTGAACTCAGGACCCTGCGTTTGTAAGGCAGGCACAGTGCCACTGAGCCAGTTCCCTTCCCGGTTTCAGGTTTTTAATAGCAGTTGTAATCCACAGGAATTATTAATAAATATTTTGTATCCATGCTTATATCTTATTGTTGTAAACTGTTGTTTGAGGATGAATACACCAAAAAGGGGCTCTCCCTTCCCATCTGTTTTTTACGGTAGAAATATAAGCTTGAAGTATGCGCAAGATTTGTTGATTTCCTCACCTTTGATGACACAGAGGTAAAACCTCCCAGGCAATTTAATGCATTTTGGCCTCAGGCACAAGTGAGGTGTATTTCTCACTGCTGTTGATATCCAAAGCCATCTTATCCCTGACTGCTCTTTCCCGGGAAGACAGGTGGCCCTGGGTGTGTGACACCCCTTCCCCCGAGGCCTGTCATCTCCCCCAGGGACCTTAATTACCCTCTGCTTTGCCTCCTAGGTATGGAAAGATGCTGCCACTCAGATTTTCTTCTCTCTGTCTGCTGCCTGGGGAGGTCTGATCACTCTTTCTTCTTACAACAAATTCCACAACAACTGCTACAGGTATGTGTGGGGGGGGTGCTTCCCACATCCAGGGGGCGCTGGTGAGCAACAGTAGGGTAAGGGGCAGAAGAGAGGATGAATAGTAGGGTCTGGAGGCCGCATCCTTCCGATTCGCCTGAGGTAGAGCTACAAATTTGCCTGTGATCTGGGAGATTCACCTGTGATCTGGGAGAAGCAAACAGCCAAGGCTGCTGTCTGCTGGGCCCCAGCTGCCCTCCTGGCCCCGACTCATGGTGGCTGTGCAGCCAGTCCTGTCCTGTGGTAGTCATCTGTGAGCCCCAACCCTGTCCACATATAAAGTCACAGCCCCTCTTATAATGTACGGTCATCGGTCACTTGATGCCTATTTTTCTAGAGACCCTGCAGGAAAGGCAGCGTCACGCAGAGCAGAGGAAAGAGCCCCTGTGATCCTGACAGGTGACTCGAATGTGACTTCACCTAAACCTAAAAAGCATGGACAAGACGCTTTCTTATCTAAGCACCCATTGTTTCACCTATAAAACACAGATTGTAATGTTTTGCTGAGGGGTAAATAGTGATATATCCAAAGCTCTCAGAGCAATCTTTTGCACTCACTCTGTGGGTGCTCAATGAATGGGCAACTGCCATTGTTATTCTTAAAATAATGTCTGGGGTACTTTGTGAACCAAGAATGAGGAAGAAACATTCGAAACAACGCGTCCCTGTCCTCAAATGGTTTAGGAGCGAGGTGCAGAGCTGCAAGATCATGGGTGTGGTTTGGGGCGCAGAGAATCACACTCACAAGACACAAACGGCTTATCAAGCACAAGTGTACTTGATTTTAAGAAAAGGGTACGGAACAGGAGCAATGCCTCAGTGCCCAGTGACAGAGCCACCGAGCCACCAAGCATCTGGACTGAGCTTGCAACATCCCAAGTGCTTCATATTTGTATCGTTGGGAGCCAAGAGTGGTCATGAGGGCCAGCAATGATGATGAGGAGGATGAACGTTGGCCATGTCAGGACAGAGCACGTCCTTGGGCTTCCGTACCTCTGGCCTTCTAGCTGTGGAGCAGTGCTCTCCTGCTCCTATTTTTAGTGCAGCCACAGCTCCTATTTTCTAGGTCATGCATACAGCATTCCTAGCAACCAGGTTGGGAGCCCAGGCCATGCTTGGGAAAATAGTTAGTCCATAACCACTGCTGCAGGAACCCACTCATTCACTTGGTATTGCACGAACCTTAACTGAGGGTCAAGCTTGTCTCAAGCATCTCTGAAACTCAGAGGTAAGCAGTGGCCTGACGAGGTGAGAGTTGCACTGGGGAGGTGTGCAGGTCCAGGAGGGGAAGAAACATCTGAGGTGGAAATGAGAGGGAGGACAGAGGTAGGGGTGCGTGGAGGGAGCAGGTAAATGGGATCGGAGAGGAGACTGGACACTGAGGGACCCGCCAGGACTCACTCTCGGCCCCTCATGGGGCTCGGGTTCTCTGTCCTGGCTGATGCAGGGGCCACACGCTCCCTGCAGCCTCCCCCTCCCCATGAGAGCAAGGCCTCCTGGTTTTGTGACCTCCCGAAGGGCCCCCCTTCTTAATGCTACCTGGATGTTTCCACAAAAGTGGATGCCTCGAGCCCCAGCTCTAAGCACATGGGCATCGGGTCAGGCACTTGGTGTTTTTGAGGCTTTTGGTGCTTTTGAAGTCAGGCTAAGGGCATCTGTGGTAAGAACTGCTTGTGTCCTTGGGTGAACACCTGTGAAGAGATGGCGTGCACACACCTGGGCATGCACACGTGTCCGTGCACACACGCAGACTCTCACATACACACAGTACAAGTTGTTTGTCCTTCCTCTTGTCCCTCTCACGAAGCCCGCCCAATGGCCAACTCTGGTCTCCTCTTCTCTCAGGGACACTCTAATTGTGACCTGCACCAACAGTGCCACAAGCATCTTTGCTGGCTTCGTCATCTTCTCTGTCATCGGCTTCATGGCCAATGAGCGCAAAGTCAACATTGAGAATGTGGCAGACCAAGGTAAGGGCGGCTGTTTCCAGACTCACTCCTGAGCTCCTAATTACCCTGTGTCAGGAAGTTGGCCTTCTAGGACAGGTGGAGGGTGAGGGAGCCCAGGACCCCTTTCCAGAGGGACCAGGACAGTCGCCGGAGCAGAGTTCAAGCTCGCCTGTCTCCAGCCAGCAAGGCTGCTTTAAAACCCTCTTCTTGCTCCTCCCCCGTGTCTTTTCTTGCTTCTCTTAATTCTGTCACAGCCTGTGTAGGTCAGGTCTGTCTGTGCTGTTTAGGTCCGGGCAGAGGATCCATCAGGCAAACCCCGTGTCCTGGAGCTGGGTGGCCGCAGGAGGACACCCTTGGCAGCTGTAACGCTAATTCTGGGGAGCTTTGCCTTACACAGCACTTTGCTGACTGTGAGGTCAGAGGTGTTCTCAAGGCCTCCTGCTTAGTCAGCAATATCTCTCTGTGCACGGTCAGGTTGGATGGGGTGAGGGGTTTGTAGGGTTCTCCTTTGCGCTCCACTCACTGATCCTTACAGAATGGCTCACCTTTGCGTGGTGCTTCCAAGTTTATAAACAGCCTTCATTTTTTATCTCATGGAATCCACAGGAGAGCGTTTGCAGATAAAGCATTTGAGATTTTTATTTAACTCTTTATTTCCACCCCCATCCTTATTCTAGAAAGCATTCGGGGATTGTGAAGGCTCTGAGGGGCTTCCTTGTGGCTGAGGCTTGTCATTACGATCTGCTGTCTGCTCAGGCTCATGGGGATGCCTGTTTGTGGGGGGACTGGGCCAGCGGAGGTGCAGGGTGACAGGTTGGCCTGCTGGTCAGGCACCATCTCTCCAGGAGCTTGTCACCTTTTTCAGTGGACTGACTGATCTCTCTTGGCTACCTTGGGATAGTGAATGACTCCTTGGTCTCCTGCTGAGAGGGCCTTCAAGAGTTAAATGAGCCAGCATGTTCCCAGGGTGCACCGCTCTCTGGGAGAGCGTGAAACCCAGGAGTGTTTGGTTCTGCAGCCGTGGAGAAACTAGGGGGGCCTTGGGAGCTGAGCAAACAAATGCTTTCTCCTGGTTGAGGATTCTCTAACTCCCCGGGGGGCAGGTGGAAAAGGTGAAAGGCTTTGTCCTCAGGAGGTGTGTGTGTGTGTGTGTGTGTGTGTGTGTGTGTGTGTGTGCTTGAGCCACCCCCAGCTGTCCTGTAACCTCACTTCCGCCCAGCAGAGGCGCTGAAGCAGATAGGTTCTGCCCCAGTTTCTAGCAGACCTCAGCCTGTCTGCTATTTCTCAGGACATGTCTGAGCTTGTTGGAAACCAGGGACCGAGCTGCCAGAAATAGTGATTCTTGAGATGCCAGCCATGTTAAGCTAACGTGCTGAGCTCTTTCATGACTTAGAAAATGGATTTGGGAGGGAGATGTTGCTGAAAAACAAAAGAAAACAAAACCTCACATAGAATTTTAACTGCTAGGTAGAAAGCAGATTGCCTGTGTTTCTCTCTGAAATTTCCCCTTTCAAGTATTTTTGAGTTCCTCTGATTTGACAGTGACAACAGCACTTCTGACAGGTTCTAACCCATTCTGTTAATACGTGGTCACTGGTCCAGGGACAGGAGAGGGGCAGAGGCCCGGGTATCTTCTCCGGTACCCCTTGGGGGTTGCTATTCCTGTGCTTCTGAGCTCACAGATGTTCCTACATGGGCTCCACAAACTTATTATTCCCTCAAATTTAATCTCCAGATATGGGTCAGATGTTTGGGGTCAGAACCCTGCATCATTGTTAGCTGAGCGACATTATTAGCATACAGACATCCAGGATGTTTTTGCTTATCCAACATTGGTAAGCTTGATTCAAAATTTGCTGTTTAGCCAAAAACAGACTCTCATTAATGACTTAATGCAATTCTGATTCCTTTAGCATTCCCTTTTTACATCTTCCTTTTGGTACTAGGTGTTTGGGGTCAGAACCCTGCATCATTGTTAGCTGAGCGACATTATTAGCATACAGACATCCAGGATGTTTTTGCTTATCCAACATTGGTAAGCTTGATTCAAAATTTGCTGTTTAGCCAAAAACAGACTCTCATTAATGACTTAATGCAATTCTGATTCCTTTAGCATTCCCTTTTTACATCTTCCTTTTGGTACTAGGGATTGAACCCAGGACCTTTGTATTGAACTATATCCTTAGCTCTTTTTTTTTTTTTTGTTGCGGGGTATCAAACTTTATTTTCTAAA